GACTTTAATTCATTGCTGGGATGTGACTGAAGCAGAGTCACATGTGATAAAATCCACTGCTCTTTATGGAGCTCACAGGTGGAAGTGAGTTTCAATCAGCAGGCATTATGAAAATGAATGAACTTTGAAAATGAAGCAGAGGTTAAACTTCAATCAATGAGCACTTTATCTCCAGAGGATCGACTCATCTGCTTCTCAGTGACATTTAGAGATTATATACAAAACACAAAGGTAATAAGAAATAGACAAACTGAATGTCCATTATGTGTGTACCTTTACAGATACACTGTCATGTTTTTTTAAATATATATTTTAATTTTCCTCTTTATACAACAAAGTTGACCCTGTTGATGTGGTTGCAGCATTTTCAGTGTGAGAAACTTTCCCTCCTTGAAGTGACTTCTTCCTCCTTATAAACAGTGCAGCTGCATAGTGATTGAAACCAGCACCACACTGAGCCAGTTTTATAAATGTGAAAAATGGGAGTGGACATCCCTAAGATGAGAATCCCATCAGCTTACACTGCTGTGTATAACTCCTGGCCTCTCATCAATAGTCATAACAACTTGCATATTAACGATCAGATGAACAGAATCAACTTTCTGGGATTTGCTTACCTGGGTTATTGAGCATGCATCTCTTAGTTGTTTCAAAGGACAAAAACAGTGAATATTTTTTTGAGAATAAAATGAAAATGTTGAATAGAATGAAAGTAATAAAACAAAGATAAAAGAGAGGAAGAAAATGGTTTGTGTTCCTGTGTCCTGACTGGTTCTAACACACAGGTGTGTATGAATGTTTACAATAACAATAAATCAGAAAAAGATGAACAGTGATGTAAATCAGATGATTTATGGGAAACTGTAGTCTGCAGGACTTACTGATGCACTTTAGACCATAACGTAAAACTCAGTTACAAACTTGTGTTTGTGTATAGATGTGTATTTAGATATATAGACAGATTGATGATTTTGCTGTTATTTTTATTTCATCACAAAGTTTTTATTTCTATCCAGTGATCTTCAACTGATGTCAGATGGTTCAAACACTACTGTTAGATCAAAGCTGCTGGTATTTTACAGAAACACACTTTAGTGCAGGTACTTGTATGTACTTTTAGTGGTAACTGTGACCAGTGTGACTCCTAACTTATCATAGTTTCATGACAATCTTTACCTGAACGTAAACAATCAGCTAGCAAAGTGAAAGTAAACAACAAGTGAAACAAAACTAAACAGTGAATGAAACAGAGCAGGAACACATTCTCCAGAGAAAAAGGGGAATAAAAACAGTATAATCATGTCACCATAGTGTCTCTGCAACTTTACAAAGTCAGACTCAGTTCAGTACTCATGAACGTGTTCACTCTCATAGTCTTCGTGCGGTCTTTGTGGTAAATGTCTCCCCCGCGTAGAGACAGTTTAAGTTAATAACTGAAGAGAGTTCATCTTTAGTGAACCCAACTGATTACAATCCAGGGCCATGTTAAACCTGGAAGCGTCTGTATGGTGACATGTACGAATGCTCTAGGTATTTAGGAAAAGAACTTCAGTCCTTCATTTATTACCTCCTTTAGCAGTGAATATATTTATTCATCATTTATGAAAGGAGAGGAGAAATATCATCCCAACAACCATCTGACTATTTGATTAACAAAGCTAATGAAGTTGCACAGATTATGCATCATGTACAGGCTATGACCTGCTGACCTGCTGTTGAATTCAGTTGCTCTACACAACTGAATTCAACAAGATGTAAAGAGATGTTTCATGAGTTGTCCAGACATACTTCCACTCTCTGAGAGTACACTGTCTTTATACTAGATGGTATAAAGTTGGTATGAAAGGGAAAATCAGCGAATGGATCTAAGAATCGTCAGCTAAAAATCGCATTAATCTCTGCTTCACTTGCTGTAAGCTACCTCTGAGCATTAAGCCACAGCCACTGTGCACCAGTCACACATTATTCTTTACTTTAAACCAATACAGTGCAGCAAACTAACCCATCAAAACATGGATAAGTGGCAGCAAAGCAACTGAGTGAACAGTAGAAGACAAAATGTGGCGGGGTGTGGTCTGCGGTGCCGCTGCAGGGGAGGCCGACACATCTGAGAGGCATCTGCAATCACACGTCGCCAACTGTTGTGATTGTGGATGGTGTGTGTCAGGCTGTGAGCTGTGGAGCGGCAGCCAACTCAGGGCGATCGTGGCTCAAGAGTTGGGAGTTCGCCTTGTAATCGGAAGGTTGCTGGTTCGAGCCCCGGCTTGGACAGTCTCGGTCTTTTTGTCCTTGGGCAAGACACTTCA